CTCGTATGGAACTAACGCGACCGCCACGCGCCCGGGTGTCCTAGTGACGCCCTGGAGGCTTCACGCGGGGACGGCTATGCAGTTTCACATTCGGGCTCCGGTCTGTTTTCCTGACGGAAGGGACCCTGGCCGCGGGCGGGGTGGCCGGCGGCCCTAAGAGCCGGCAAGAGGGGCTCGTTACTACACGTCCGTCGTTCAGAATGTCCCCGAGAAAGCCCGCACGCCCGCTGCTTCCTTCTTCGTCTCCGTGAAGCGATGTCTTTAAAGTCGCTGTTATTCAAATACCAATGGGTTTTACACTCACATTCTGGGGCCAAGACACAGGATCAGAACCCTAAATGCATTTCAAGGAATCTCTCTCGTTTTTCAATAAAAGGAAAAAAATCTAAAAATTGGGGGGGAGGGAGGAATTTTTTTTTTTTACGTAACAGCCTGGAAAGCCATACGATGACTCAAAATCATCATGAAGACAATCCAGAGTGAGCACAGCAAACTAAATTCCTCCGCTTGGAAGCGCTGGGCCCGCCCTATCAACGCCCACATCTTGTCCCTGGGCCTCCGAGAAGCCACAGGACGAAGCCGTGTCTGAGACACGTGTGACCGTGGCCTCTCACGCACGCGCAGCGCGGGACTCGGCGTAGAGAGCGTGTTTGTGGCGGCACAGCCTGGCGCGCAGAAGCCAGGCCAAGGCCCAGGGCAACGTATGCTGCGCTGAGGTCACTCCGCTTCTACGCTGAACTGAAATTAAATTTAATGTCTTGGCAGAAAATAAACATTTGCATTGGAAAAAGGGCTAATTTATGTCCCAGCGCCCGGCCACCCCGGGCGTAACAATCCTCCCTTTGTGCAGCCCCTGCCTCGGTCTCACAAGCGGCTCTCAATGCCTTCATTCACGGGCGCGCTCCGCCCACGCCGGGGCTCAATCCTGTTTTGAAAGGTTGAGCGTTCAGACTTTCCACACACGGGCCCCGGGCGGGAGCGCGCCGCTCGCACCGACAGGCCTCACGGGTGGCAAAGCCACGGCCG